GTGGTTATTTGAGTTACTGTTGCCTCTCAGCTCGAACCAGTCTGGCCATTTTCCTCTAACCTCTGGCATCAACAAGGCATTTGTGCCCACAGAACTGCCACTCACTGGACATTTTCTCTTTTTCAGATCATTCTCTGTAAACCCTAGAGATGGTTGTGCGTGAAAATCAGCAGTTTCTGAAATACTCAGACCAGCCTGTCTGGCCCAACAAACATGCCACGTTTAAAAAGTCACTTAAATCACCTTTCTTCCCTATTACGATGCTTGGTTTAAACTTCAGCAGATCGTCTTGACCATGTCTACATGCCTAAAAGTATTGAGCTGATACCATGTGATAGGCTGATTAGAAATTTGCGTGAACAAGCAGTTAGACAGGTGTACCTAATAAAGTGGACGCTAAGTTTACATACTAGGCATTATATATGCACACACTCATATTCAATAATCGTAGAAGGAAATATCCTGTTTAAAATTGTATGCATAAGTAAATTATGGAGGATCTTTATATACGTATAAATACTTTCTTTAATTGTGTATATTCCCCAAATAATAATAAAAATAGTTTTTTGTTCTAAATAAATGAATATAGAGCACATTCATATTAACATCAAACACAAAAAAAGTCTAATCAATATATTTCAGTTTCTCCATGTCTACTGTATGCTGGCATACTAAATATGATCTCTTGAAATAAATTGTGTAATTTACTGAGTGAAACTTCTTTCTGCACCAGTTTTTCACGTTACACATGTACAGGTTATTGATACTGTGCTATAGCATTGTTAAACCAACACAAAACAAATTAAGAAAGACTGAGTCGGCAGAGGTTCATATTCGCAATCGGTCCTGGTCGCCCTGTGCTCAGCGTCTCCGGAGACAATACGTCAATACTATGCTGTCTCAATAATACTGCGCTATCTCTGTCGACTGGGCTGGGCTCGCACTTTCTTTTTTAGCATCCGCAATGCCCAAGGACAGCACAACCTAACCAGACCGTTTCCAGTACTGCTGGATTTTTCCCTCTTATTGAAATTTGCTGAGTAGCAAAGTTGAGTTCCAAATATGGAAACAAATATAATACGGCATCAGTCATTTGTTTGTTATTTTGCTTGAAGCATGAGCTAACATTTCACACTCAAAGGCTAACTTTACACATATCTTTTCCACTGCATCACTAATGTACTTTCCAACACATGCATTATACTGCGACAGCTGGATCGATGCAAATGAGCACATTGCATATTTAAACCCTCTCTAAATGTACAGTTCTACCAAAAAAAAAAAAGATCCACACTTGCTAAAATGTACCCTCCAAAAATATGCCTTGATGTAAACAACCTCGAAAGCTGAAATTGACAGGCAGGGGGTGATTTTGATTGGCTAAAAAGCTGCAGATCAACATCTTGACAATTTATTTCTGTTAACAAAGCCTTTGGCTGTTACAAGGACGGGTCTGATTTCTCAGGACACACACAACTAGTGATCTGTCAGGTGGAAAGGACAATTTACGCATGCTTTTCCAAATAAAACGCCTACAGCGTACGCCTTTAATTGCCTTACAAGAACTATCTGCCACCTCCAGAAATGTGAGCACTTGCATAATGCATAATAGAGCTCCTTTCATAATTTGTAAATCGTATATGAAAATAAACAGAAGCAGTAAATCTGATACAGAAGCACTGCTTTTAATTAACACGATTTGACGAGTCATTTTTTGTGGCCTCTAAGAGCTGCAATACTGTCAGGAGGAATAAGTAATAGCAGACCCACAACAAAATAACAGGGCTTTCTCTGGCATGGTGAAAATGTTCCCGTTCTGCCGTCTTACTTAACCTTTTGAAATGACATTAGACACAAGGTCTATGTGATGTTGATGCATCAAGTACTTTCATTTATTGACCTTCATTTTACTACCCGAAGGTAACAATGTTATATTGTTTACATCTGGTCAATGTATTGTATATGTCTACATATAGAAGTAGAGAAATACTGAACATTTTTTTAGAATAAATTGAGAATTTTTGTTCCAAGAAAAACTAAGCAAAATAAGAATAATTACAGGTACAGTAATTACAGCTATTAAACATGCATATATACGTTTCCCGTGGGAAATACATTTGCTTTACGTTTGTTGTAAAAGTTTTAAAACACGCACTGTATGTTTTATAAATATGCCTAATATTATTATCATACCTTCCATGTGCATACAGCCTGCCTACCTAATTAAAAACGTGGTGAAAAAAAAGCTATATCTGCCAATTATAAATACCCTATTTCTTTTTCATAGACGGCAGAAATGAGGTACAAGTCTATCAAATGCCTTCAAGTCCCTTTATTGACAGAGAACAACATTAAATATTCTTTTTTTCCCAAAGATACAGCAAGCAACCGCCCAAATACATGTGCTAAAAATTTTAAGGTGAGTGTAAAGGAGTTTAAGGAGTGTAAATACAGTCAAATGTAGACAGATGAACAAAACGACGACGAAAAATCATTAGATGTACATTAATATAAAACGATACTGTTAAAATGTCTTTTGAAGACGTTAAAATATCTATACATTTTTACAAATTTATTCACACATTTGCATTATTGAGAGCAGGAAACAGACAGGCTGCAATGGTAAGCAGCATCTACATAAAATCATTTTATTAAAATAAACGATCAACAAATGAATCTGTCTCTACAAGTGGAAGCATTTTCTACACACAATATGAATGCCCAATTAGAAAAATACTACAAACTGTAAAATACTTAATCAAATAGAAGGCAAATCCAAATGCCTGACGCAAGCTGGATATTTAAAGTGGGCTATTCTATATCTAGACAGTTCAGCTCGATGATGTATAATATCTCTAACATTGCCTGTAATCCCATTTAGCAACTTGATAGCAACAGTCTTTTAAAAGAAGCATAACCGATTAAAAAAATCAAGAGTGGGATATAACTGATGTGTTTTATGTCGTAGAATAAAACGTGAAAGTGTCTTAAGTTTGTGGTAACTATGAAGCTTATTTTAGCGACTTAACTGAGATTCTATTAAAAAAAGAAAACATTGGTTGCGTCCGAAACAGCCTACTACTCAGTAGGTACTGCATTTTGAATTAAAACGTATTACTCTGCAGTTATACAAGAGATGGTACATCGGAGCGATATGCCAATTCAGTAATGCAAATCACCATTCTTATCATCCCTATTATTAGCATAACTTTACAAAACATGAGACGTCATTAATTCTACATGACGTGGAAATAACCAACTAAACATATAATACCACTTGTAACATCCATGGTCTTTTAAAAAAGCATATAACAGAACTATAAAAAATGCAATAAAGTTAAAAACAGAACTTACCAAGAAATTAGCAGGTTAACGCATTCCTTCAATTCACTTCACTGCATCCAACGTCAGATCAATCCCATGATTCCACTCGTGCAAAATTTGAATATTTGCTCCTAATTTGACCAGCATTTGACCACGATTGAGGCACGTCGTGACAGTTTTGATCTTGGTTAAACCTACCGTGGACAGAGTTAGTGTAATGGCCTCTGCCAACAAGGCGGCTAGTTACACTTAGTGCAAATAGCCACTCCGTTAAAATATATTGTGTACAAAGGGGAAAAAGGTTTTGTTTATTACTTAGACATTTAAAAAGAATATATTTTAGAGCAGTAATCACAATACTGGGATGCTGTGAAACCGTGATATTTATATCCAAGGTTATCATACCGTCAGAATCTTATACCAGCCCATGCCTATTTATGACTATGTTTACTAATGGTCCTGCAAGACACAACATTTTGCTTCACTGTATGCCCACACAAATAGCAGAATGGCAATAAAGCTCAACTTCACTTGAAAATGCCTTGCTGTCTATCAGGCAACTATTTTTTAAAACAGAATCTCCTTCAACTGGACATTTTAACACATTAAAAGTAACTGTACATTTGGACTGTTCCAATTGGGAAACATTATATGGGAATCAAGTTATCTAATAGAAAAGTCTCAAAATGTACAAAACTGTACATATACAAACAAAATGCAAATATGTTGTCACAGAATAAAATGTGAATAACTGAATTCTGTGATATAAAAAAATAGGATTTAATAATTCCAACGTAATACCGATATATGTCTGCTTTTTGGTAATGCCACCACTCCCAGATATATGACAATACAATAACAAGGTTTGAAACTCTTGTGTAGCTCTTATAATATGAGCTCTGGCTAAATTAGCAGACACATCTTGTATGTAAGCGATTATGAAATGATGAGAAGGTTCCGGCATACAAAAGAAGGCTAATCTAGAGAGAGATAATCAAAGATGGTTTCAGTCAGCATATCAGAGAGGAACATGGTGTCTCATTCTATTGAAGTCTTTCCCAGGTCGTTAATACTCCATCGAGACATGAGCTGACGGAAACAGGAACAGACTGTGAGTGTGTGATAAACAGAGGAAGGTGTATGTATGTGGAGGTAATAAGGTCTTGAAAATGAATTCACATTGCCAAAATTGATAGATTGGCTATTGCGAGTTGTTGTCACAATATCAATTGGATTTGGATACGATACCTAAATTAAAAATCTTGATACCAATACTAGGAGTGACATAGTGGATCAGTGGTTAGCACTGTCACCTCACAGTTAGAAGGTCACTGGTTCGAGCCCCGGCTGGGTCAGTTGGCATTGCAGTGTGAAGTTTGCATGTTCTCCCCGTGTTCGCATGGGTTTCCTCTGTGTGCCCCGGTTTCTCTCCGCAGTCTAAAGACATGCGCTATAGGTGATTTGAATAAGCTAAATTGGCCATGGTGTAGGTGTGTGAATGCAAGGATTTATGGGCATCAGCTCCATAAAACATATGCTGGATAAGTTGGTGGTTCATTCCACTGTGGTGAACCCTGATTAATAAAAGGACTAAGCCAAAAAAAATGAATATAATAGCAGTATAGTCAAAATGTTTTAATATAAATAAAAAAGTTTCTTTGTAGTTTAAAAAAAAAAATTATAAAATCCATGTGTCCATACCCACAGGCTTTGTGATGTCCATGGGCTTGCCCTGACTGCCAGAAACATGCACAAATAGTTCCATATTTCACTTCACGCATCGATATTTCACTTCACATATCGGGCAGTCACTATCTATGCAGCCGGAGAATGCATCTGAAATGAGAGAAAATAAAAGAAGAAAAATAAAATCACAGGATGTTTCTCAATATGCGTTCTTCAGCAATCTTGCATCCTCGTGTTAAGTCATCATCAGCTGCCAAGGTTCAGTTCAATACTCAAGGCCGCAAGTGAGCATTGACCGCACTGAATTCGCTCGTAAAGTCCAAGAAGTCATCATACTGGAGGTGGGAAGCGAAGCATTTTATATAGGTTAATTATTAAAGTTCAGAGATATAACTTATTTATCTCAGGAAGTTCCCTAAATGAAACGGTGAATATAAACATTAATATAAAAATCTTAATAAAGGCATAAACACATTAAGAGTGTTTATTTGCTGAAATTCGTATTAAAATCAGTTTTATTCAGTTGTCCAATGTATATTTGTCTTTATGAATGGTATATATTGTGAAAAGGAAAAAAAACAAACAAATCACTGTATGAATGCTGTAATGTTTAAAATATTTTCCATTAAAACGTGTGAAGGTCATGTGACCATCAGGAAAAAGGCATATCTCATTTCTCACAGGAAGCGTTCTGTTCTCGCGGTCTCTCAAGTTTGTTCTTCAAAGTTAACTTGGCCAGACCGGTCTTCACAAGATTCAGAACTACAGCTATCAATCAAAACGTTACTAATAAAATAAGGATTAGTATCATTTTCAGAACCAGAGTACTGCAATACCATTTTAGTGACTGTACCAATAATTCAGAGCACATTTTGTTATACTGAGACAGAAAGACTAGGGCCCAATCCAAATTCTACCCCTTCCCCTTACACCTACTAGACGAAATTGAAGAACCCGGGTGGGGGGATTGCTTAATGGGCGGTTGTCGCAAACAAAGTAGGTTGGGTAGTCGCAGAAGAAAGTGACGAGAGAGGATGTGTGTGAGGAGGGGGATCGGTAAAATCAGAGGTACCGGATTAGGAACCAGCTTGTTACGGCACAAATTAAGCCCTGCCCCTACCCCTCGTTTTGCTTGTTCACATGAAGGGGAAGGTATGATAAGATAAAAACCACTAAATTTCGCTAGTTACACAACATACTTTTACAACTGACACTCAAATACCCTGTCAGAAAAGTCTAGTGGCTACGAATGGGCTTTTTACAGTGTCTGGTATAACGTTAAGGTTGTTTTCATGTGTCTACATACAGATGAATATGGCCACAATGTAACAACACAGAACAGTTACGAGCTTATTTCCACATTATATCGTTATGATAACGTAATATTTATCAGTGATTTTTTGAAGATAAATACCAAAATAATAACGCAACTGGAATAACTACAGCAGTCGCCAATATCATGTGAAGTAAGAGTTTGCAATAACATATGATGACATGTGCAGGTGTTGTAGTACTGTCCCATTTCCTAGGGGTAAATTTTGAAGGCCTTCCCCTTCACACTCTGTTCCAAGAGTCAAGGGGAAGGGGTAGGGGCAGGGGCACAAAAATAGAATTGGGATTGGGCCTTAGTGTGCCCACACTGCCCCCTATTGTTGAACACTCGGAAGTACAGCTGTCAGTCAAAAACGTTACTAGTAAAATAAGGAATCGTATCATTTTGAGAACTTCGATACCATTTTAGAACCGGCATATCGTGACACTAATTCCAAGCACATTGTGTTATATTACTGAGACAGAAAGACTAACTTCTAATTAGAGGATTCAAATGACTAAATGGTGTCAACTTACCATTTATTTCATTATTTAAAAAAATAAGGCTATTTAAATATGTAATAATCTCTGCATATATGGATAAAAGACCAGAAAATGAATTCTAAAGTCTATACTATAATGCTTGACTAATCTGCCGAAGTCATTTTTCAGCGATACTAATTGTTTTTCATAACTGATATAATCTAATTTTTTAATTAATTGACTCTTAAGTTTGTATAGTTTAAGAAATCCCTCCATTTCTTATTCTTCTGCATAGAAATTCCAGTCGGATGAGCAGCAGGCTAATAAATCACAGGAACGACAAATAGAAAGGAACAGGGTTCAACATTTTATTTATTTTATTCTGTCCCTGCCACTTGGCTTGTCATGTTTATAGTGACAGGTAGCTCTCACTGTGCTACGTTATAGTCGGTGCAATCAATAGACACGACCGTAAAACACACTACACAAGGCCTGCTGAAGCACGGAGGGCATCTTTAGTGCAGACCCTTTTCTGGGTGTCAGAGATTGGATTGCCGCTGGAATGGATTTGACAGAGAAGCAAAGGCTAGGGGTACAAATAAATGGCTTGCAAAGATGGGAAAGGTTTATTAAAAGCAATGTGTGATTACAAGACATGAGTGAGAAAGTCGTCCTGAGGCTAGAACCACACTTGCGTATGGAAACCGTCTTTATATTTTAGAATGCAAAAGGACTTTGTACTGACTTTAACCCTGCTTTGAGATGTGCTGGAAAACATTTAGTTAGCTAAACAGGGGCTTCCCTTTTACAGTTTATGTGCAAAACTAGAATGTGGCATTAAAACGTAAAACAACAATTTAAGCAATATTTTCATCCAATGAGTCAATAAAAACAAAATAGTCACGTCCTGATAAACTGGCGGCAAATGCCAAAAAGAAAATTGATGCGGTAGAAGACGCCACTTTGCGGTGCGGTAGTTTTTGGATGTGCGAATGTGAGCACAGCCGCTCAAGACAGTTCTGAGAGGAAATTATATTTTAGAATGACCCAAAAAAAATATGTTGGATGTTTTACAATGTGGTTGGTTTGCTGGTTTTCCATCAATGCTGTCCATTTTTATTATAACATGATCTGTTAAAACAAAATCGCATTACTTTTTGTATTGTACATGCTGGAATTTACTTTGTAAATGTGCTTCCATCATAGTTTACATGCATTTCTTATGGGATAAAAGGTCTATCCTACTCATTTGTGCAATAATATCCAGCTACAGACTCGCAGACCCACACACGTTTCACCGCACACAATCCAGGACACACGATTTAAGCTGGGGCAACTAATATTTAGGCGTTTAAGCAGGTGGCTAATAATTGGGGGGGGGGTGTAATAATTCTGACTTTAATTGTAGTTAAATGTGACGATGAATCAAATGTGATGAAATATCATCCCAAAGAAAGATAACTCTCTCATACTGTGGAAATCTCCTCCAACACATCTCAAAGGCTTTCAGTTGGCTTCAGGCCAATTGGCGGTCAACTGATATGTGAAAATGAAGCCTGCTTCCAGAATTTGAGCCTGATAAATATTTGCATTGTCATCCTGGAATATAACCATGGGATACGTCTTCTGACTGTTGTTTATGTAATTAAGAAGCAACCATTGACTCTTAAAGTAAGTGTTTGCATACAAAAATTCAAACAGCAACTATTGTTTTGGCCAGGCTATTAATATATCACCAGATACTATCACAGCTCAACTATTCAAAGTTCAAAGGCTGGACATCTGATGGCACACAATTCTGGAAACACTACAAGTGTGAATAAAAGCTGTCACATTTGTAAGAATTAGCAGTGAGTTGTAAAAGTATGTGTATTCTATGGCATGATCTCTTTAAAATCCCTTTAAGAGATTTACATGTCAGTCTGTTATTGTTGGGAAGTCAGCCTTATATTTTCACAACTTTACAGAACAATTCACACCACACTGACAGACGATGATAAACATTGACAGCTGCCAGATTACAACTCGTCACTTTTCAGATATTCTATGACATAAAGCTCCAACAAATCACAAAAAGACACCAACAGGAGGATACACAAATCCAGAAAAACCATACAAAGGGTCTGCTGCACCTGGCCTTAAAGGAACACAGCCTCATTTTATTACTCTCCAGGAGTTAAAACAGTTGAGCTTTACCATTTAAATCCATTCAGCCAATCTCCAGGTCTGACAAGAGCACTTTTAGCTTAGCTTAGCATAAATTATTGACTCAGATTAAGCCATTAGACCCTTACTAAAAAAATTTTTTTAAATTGTTTTGATCATTTTCTGATTTTAAGTTTGACTCTTTTTTTAGTTACACAGTGTATTAAGACTGACAGAAAATGAAAAGCTGCATTTTTCAAAGTCAATATAGCTACAGGAACTATATCAATTAGGCTTGGCCGGTTATACAGTAATATGGTATACCGCGGGATATAAAAATAGCAATTGTACTTAAATAGGAGACAAGTATTAAATAATAAATATTATTTATTTATTGCCAACAAATGCGTATGCGTGATTGTCATCATGGGACAGTGTGGACGTGAGAGAGAGAGAGAGGGAGAGGTAAGGTGGCGAGTCGCGCACCAAGTGACCTGCAGTTTGGCAGTATTTCCAGTTTCGACCATACGAGGAAGGGACACGTGGTAAATACGAACTAGAGGTCTGCATTCCCGCTGCTGTAGCGCAGGAGCCGACAAGATTTCTTGCGGTGGGGAAATAAATTTCCGAATAAAGCACTGGAGCGGTGGGTAACTCTGGTGTAATTTGAAAGGGAGCGAGCACGCGGTCTAACAATATCGCTCCCGAGTGAGCGACCACGCACGCATCCACGTGTATGCTGTTTCTTTGTGTGTGTGTGTGTGTGAATGAGAGAGAAAGAGAGAGAGTGTAGTGCTGTGTCTCTCTCTCTCTCTGTGTATGCGTGCGTGCGTGCGTATGCGTGTGAATGAGAGAGCTTCCTGCGCAGATCTTCAATAAGAACAAAACAAACAGGTGACTGCGAACCTAAGGTCGCATATACGGTATCAGTTTCTTAATGATTTAGGCACTAGCCAACAGTGTGGTGACGCTGTCTGAGCCTTACGTCATTTTTATTATGCACGGTAATACTGGATACCAGGGTAAAATAGGTATAAGGTAAAATAGAGGTTTGACTGTATCAAAATTTGGATACCGTCCAAGCCTAATATCAACGCACAGGCTAATTAATATTATGCAGTGCTGTTATACCTACTGTAGCTGGGGACTATTTTCATGCACTGTGCAATATCACTGCACCTGCTGCAGCCATTGTATGGCAGTACAGTTCC